CCTGCTGAAAGCAAGGCCTTAGATTTAGGTTACCCAGGTCCATGTAAAGCCAAGTCTCGAATACTTGGATTTGAACATGAAATAGTATGAGTAATACTATATGTAGAGTAATCATGTCTTTAGTGAAGCCACATGAAAAATTAGAAAAAAAGACACTCCACAGAGGCCATGACTCCACTGGCTCTATAGGAAACAGCACCTGTAAAGCAGAGAAGTATTTGGGTGCTCGTTCCACTTCAGATCCTAATAAGGCAGCCTGGAAACTACATTTACAGATTTCATACAGAAAAGTCTAGCCTTGGAAGTGTTTCTTCTTTCATTTTCTTTTCTTTTTTTCCTTTTTTCTTTCTGTTTTTCTTTTTGCCAGGGTGATGTTATTACCACTCATGTTTCTGCTGGCAGGAAGCTACTGCCTACAGCTGCAAACTCATAGAAAGGCAAACTTTCTGGGCCATCAGAAATGCGACCGACAAAGTGCTCTCTGCAGGTCCTTCATCCATAAGTTAAAGTATTAACACCGTGTCAAAAGTTGTGTGCTGTCCCTTCTCTGCTAGCTCTTCCTTATTTTTAAACATTTCATTTCACAACCATTTCATTACATAAACATGCAGCGGACCAAGGCTTAACGTGAATGGATTTGAGCTAGCAAATCTTGGAGGAAGAAAAAATAAATTTCATTTTCTCCCAGGTTAAAATCATACCGATTGCCTTGTGTTTTAATGAGCAGTGCAGACGTCTCATGCATTTAACTCGGTTTCTTATGATTTGTCACATTTCATGGCTGACGGCTACGTAAGACCTCATTACTTTAGGGATCCTGGTGAGAAAAGCTGTTGTTCTGAAGCGTTATTCTGGCTGCTTCTACAAATTTCACACAGGAAAGTTGCAGTAAGCTGATAAACACCTTCTTATATATTACAACCAGGCCAATGGAGAGAAATGTGTATCTTTACATTCTGCATTATTGCTTGTACAAATGGTGGAAGCAGTTAGAAAGGTAACACTTCCCATGTTTATTTACACCTGCATTCTTGGGTACACAAAGGGGGGAAGTCTTTCTTTTTGAGAAAAAGAGTATTTCTCAGCTGGTTACCTCACTTATTTCCTCTCTTCAGTAAAACTGTAGAACCACGAGCAGTGTCCTACTTCACTTTCTAAACACCTCTAGTAAAAGGGATGCTTTCATGGCCACCGCTGTATTACCAAGCCTAGGAAAGGCTCAACATTATTCTAACCCTTGTTTCTGTGGGATATCACGGAGATGCCTTAGATGATGCTGAACAAGACCTTGACTACATTGTCCTATCTATGGAAACTTCAGGAGGACACTGTCATTTGAAATTAGGATGCTACGCAATGAAGTCCAAAGCTAAAACACTTAATTTGCTGGTCCTCCCCAACCCTCATCCCTTTACATTTCTCCCCCTGGTTGGTACCTTCCCTCTCCTGCTCCCCACTGTGCCCTCTCCCTTCAACAGCAGACAACCTGGATTACACTGATAAATAAATATTTCATCCCAGGCTTTCTTCAGATGCCAGCCTGAGGGCTGCTTCACCCCACGGACCCACGCAGCTTTTGTGTAAGGGCCTGGCTCTGGTTTTACTGACAGCAACAGGAAAATCCTGGCTCTGTGGATGATTTTATAAAGGTTAAAGCAAGAGCCCTCTGAATAAAGCTGTGCCTTCTCACTGCTTGCACCTTGATAACAGCAAGACCCATCCCAGCCATCATCTCTCATCTTTCTCTTTTTTCCCCCATTTGCACACTGGGAAGGTACAAATGAACCTTAGGAAGTAGTTTATGTTCATATACCAACTCTCGGATTCAGAGAGCTGTAGAAGAGCAAGGTAACTGCAATTAAATGTAGCCAGAGATCACAGGATACATGGCGGGTAAGGTTTAACCTTAGTGCTTTTGGTAAAAACCAGACTCATTGATATTCTTCTCATCCACAACCCCTTCCTGGAGTCAATAAACCCAGCTGTGGTTATTCAAGTGCACTCTGAAATAACTGCTACATCCCAGCAGCAGAAATGACACCACCCTGGGCATGGAGCAATCCCCACAGCACCTTTCCCTTACCCCGAGAGCAATGTTGCAAAGAAAATTTTCTGCTTGCAAAATGCTTGGAGATGGTTGGAACAAATGCATTAAAGATTTGCAAATCATTTATGTGGGGCCATTAGTTATAAAGGTCTGGGCTTATTGCTTATAGCCTTCTAAAGAAAAGCTTAAAATAAGATTGTTTTCATTTGCAAGAGCACAAAACCACACTCAATGCAGCTATCTCCTTAATCTCACACCTTGAAATTCAGCCCTCAAAGGCTGAAAGACTTAATTCATTTCAGCGACTAAGAGCATGTATGTTGCTGGGAGAAAAAGAATAAGTTAAAAATGGTTAAAAATAGAGGTTTACTGCAGAAAGCACAGAGTTTTCTCTATCATCTGATGAGCAGCATGCATCACTAGCATGGCAAATATATTCATGGTAGTCCTGGAACTGAAAGCATTTGGGTTGTGCTCTGACTCACGGTGCCTTTGCAGAAGCAAGGATTACTGTTATCTGTTCGTGTAAAATCACTGTGGTGGGCCTGTTCCAGCCTGAACCTCTGCTCCACCAGACTGAGCTTATGGAAATGACTTACCTGCCTCATCGCTTGAATTAGGAAGCTGGAGAGCAAATGCTGTGCGATAGCTGCCAGGCTGCGCATCATCATCTTTCTTGGTTGTTACTACGTTATGAGGTCCACTGGGTACAGCCACAAATGCTGGAAGTTCAGAGGGAAAGATGCTTTGCAAAGGGTATTTGCTACCCAAATAGTCTTGGTTTGTTGTCTCTTTATTAATTACATTATTTTCTGTTAAGTCTGCACTCCAGTTTGTTCTGAGTGAAGTCTTGCTTTCTCCCAGGAGCTTTGTCTTAAATAGCTTCTCTATTGGCTCTCCATTAGCTATGCCATCTACCCCATCTGCTGTTAATCTAGACGAACTGCAATTTATATTGAAGGACAACGCTGATCTATGAATTTTTTGGCATTTAATTCGAGGTTGGTCAATGCACACGTTGAGAGACTTGTCTAAATAATAGATGGTATTTGGACACGGCTGAGAAACCTGAAGGTGGACACGCGAGATGAATGAAGGTGGTGCTTTCTCTCTCCCGTCCCTGCTTTGAAGACCCACGCCATCCTCCTTGTCCCCAGGGTCAAAACTCCGCTTTCGTGTCTCTTTACCCAATTGCGAGCAAGATTCAGAAATCTTTAACGAAGAGACTTTTTGGGTTGCGTGGCCTGGAGGAGGCCAGCGATGGAGGGCAGCAGAGGCTTTGCTCGAGGCCGGGGACACGGCGTTGGGCTCTTGCACAGCCCCAGCTCCACGTGCTGGGTCGCTGGAGCCTGCGGCAACCCGCCTGGCTGTGATCGTTATGGAGGAAAACCCTTTCTGCTGGGTTTGACACCGTTTCCTCTCTGCGATGGGAGAGTCCGATGGAGACCTGGTGTCACCTGAAGACGCCTGAATTTCTAATCTGCTGGGAAGGGCCATAAATGCTCTGTTGACGTTGACTGGACCATGGTTAGCCAAAGACTGCTTCGTGTGACAAGCACCGGGCTGGGGGATCATGGGCTGCATAGGCAAAACGGGCCAATTTTCTTCTGATTTATTCTCATCGGTCATCTGTGAAATGGCTGACGGCGAAATCAATTTTGTATTTTGTGATGACGGAGATTCCTGCAAATGAAAAGATTCCAGTTATCAACATGCTCTATCATAATATAAGTAACTGTTTCTCAACTACCATCTATCACAGCAGACAGTTCTGTTCGAGATTTCTTGTTAACTTTCTATTCATACTAACCTTTTTGTCATTTAAAACCACACGATCTCAAAATCGGCTCTGAATTGTCTGCGAGACTTCAGTGAAAAGCTTAGCACTCTGGTCAAAAAAGATTAAAATAAAAATGTACATTCTATGCTCCTATTTTCAGTAGTTAACCCGTTGTCACAGTTGGGATTTTTGGCTGCTATATTTGCTTAAAAATGGACATGTCAAAGGCAATCGCCAGTTTCAAACTCTAAACTGCTCTTTCATGATGGTCTGCTGGAATGTAAAATGTATTTAAATATATTGTGGATCATCAGCCTGAAGGTCCACGTGTGCAAAGGACATGACTGCTCTACAACTTCATCAGTTATAAGCATGGAAAAACTTGTTCATGATCCCTCCAAGCGTGATATAATTTCCTATAAGGGCTCCAAGTACTGGTTTAATTCATTCGTTCCCTCTTGCTTATCATTACTTGGTGGCACCTGTCAATGAAGTAACATCACATATGTCCAAGATTGATTAACAGAGGCCCAGATTCATTTTTCCAACCATGACAGCAAACATCTGTCTTGATAGAGCGTACATGACTCCACTCAGTGTGACAAAAGGAGGTGCTTTTATGTTAACGTTACCTGATAAAGAGTAAACCTGAGTTTAAAATCTCCTGCTATTATTATTCACACAGCTGGTCACGTAAGTCACACGCAATAAAGCATCTGGGCTAATCTCATCGCTGCTGTAAATTGGCTGATTAGATTGCTCCTGCCCTGCGTTCCTACATCTCCCGATCCTAATAGGGAAAAACTCCGGTGAACTGCCGTGCAAAATCTGAGGATTAGCTCCATAATGAAAGCTCTGCCAAGTTCATTTTGGGTTTAGGTGGCATTTGGTAGCTGTACTGCTCCTGCTTGTTACGAACTCATCTCAGTCATACCTGGGTGCCTGTCATCTCATAACAAACACAGGTGCTTGACACATATTTCACAAAATATAATATCCTTCCTCCTGAAGGAAGACGATGCGAGGGACAGAGCTGTGACCTCCCATGAGCCATGGTCATCCTCAGGGCTTGGGTGCCAGAGACCAGACCCTGCACCAAAGCCCATGGGGAAACCATTCCTGTGCTCCTGTTCCCCATGCATGGAAATAACACCCAAAAAGATGGGCTCCTTCGTAATCCTGGGAAGGCCGATTTGGGAACCCAGATAGGGAGAGGCACATGAAGAGTTTATTACCGAGGTGAAATGCCAGGTAAATTTTATCAACTCTCTAAACCAGCTGCCTGCAGTTTGGACAATTCAATAATTTCACAGCCCCAGGGAAAGAATTTTCTTCCTCTTCTGTTTCTTTCATGGTTTGTAAAAACATTTGCCTTATATTTTCTGCGCTGCATTTGCTTCTACCTACAGGCTTAAGACCTCTGCATGCCTTCCAAAACTCTCGACTTCCCCGACATTTCTACAGGGCACCAAAGAAGAGCATTGCTTAAAATACTTTATTTTTGGATGCATTTCTCACGCTCCAATAGTTAATTTGACATTTATTTCTTTTGTTAAGGGCTGCACAGATGGAGACATCCTGCAAGAGTCCAAAGGCATGTCAAAAATGCTCCCGATTAGCTTCAAACCGAGCACCAATATTGTAAATAATTTGCTTTTCCTTTTTCTACTTATGTATTGTTCCCTCCTCCTGACCTTTGGCAAAGAAATGGATCTTTAAGGTTTGACCAGCTGATCCTATGCTCCTTGGGAGTTTTCAAGCTTCACTGCATCTTGGGGGGCGGGAAAAACCAACGCACTTACACAGAGTAATTGTGGTGAACTGAAAACCTCAGGCTGTATCTTGAGAACATCTGAGACAGAGCGTATGATATTTGGGATACCACTTGATTTATTCTCCTGAGGTGTTTTTAACAGCCTTTTTTTTTGCCCCCCACAAAACATGCAATTTCTTTTCCCTTCTCACCAAAAGCACATTGAATCACAACATTCAGCCATCATTTTAGTTGGCTTTTCTGCTGCCTAAGCTAAGCCTAGCTAAACAAAACCAAGCCCAAATGCCCTGCTCAGCAATCAGCGATTGTTTTTGAAACCTGAATGCATTCTGCTGACTGCTCCCTAAGCATTATTTATTTATTTTACCTTGGTAGAGCCTGATTTTCTCTCCGCAGCGCTCTCCCGCTGAAGGCCTGTGCATGTCCTCTGACCGTCAGTGCCCCATTGCTTTTGCATCACTCCTGGGGAAAAAAAAAAACAAACCCAGAGAAAAATCACACTATTTACAGTGCCCTGGAGGAAATGAGTTAGAAAAGGTGGTTTTAAATGGAGTGCAAGCAGGA